GCAAGCATGCGTATTGCTACGCCATGTTATATCCTTCCCTCTTGCAGCTGCACTGAAAGTGCAGCTGTTGCAGTTCATGGACAAGACGAAGGAGATGACGAGAAGAAGAAGAAAGCAAAGAAGAAGAAAGCAAAGAAAAAGAAAAAAAAAAAAAAGAAAAAGAAGAATAGTAATATATCGTTTCTTTTATGTCTTCGTATTTTCCCTGCGTCTCCCTCGTCTTCTTGTTGTTTCTTCTGTTATCCCTATATATATAGAGGAGTTTCTGTTTCTGCCATCTATTTCTTTATATTTTCCTCTTCATTTATATTTTTTTACTTACAATAAATATAATAATAATAATAATATTATTATTATTATTATATTACTGAAATCCCTCATAAACATCCCCCCCATATCCCCAATATATGCAAACTTCTCCTGCCCTCTTCTGCGCTGTATGCACAGCCCCACCCAACCACCGCCACCTGCTGCTACCAGCGCATGCACCAAAGAACAGGCGTGCTCTACACCTTTGTTTCTATCTCTGTCTCTGCGTCTTCAGCCCCCAGACGACAGCCGAGCGATCGTTTCACTGTCTGTCTTTCTGGGTTTTGTGTTTGTTTCTTCTCCCCCTTTAAACTGTAGTCAATTCGTACAACAGAAGCGCATATTATATTATATCATCGGCAGACAAAACAAACCAAACCAAAACAAAACAAAACAAAACAAAACACATGCATGCATGCATGCATGCATGCATGCACGGATGTGTTAATATTAATGAGACGCTGCGAAGCTTCTATCTCTGGCTAGGGGAGGCACGCTGACTACTGCTGGCGACGTCCCCGCCTTGATAGACTGTACGAACCCCTTCAATGCCTCCTGCAGCTCATCGGTGCACAGACTGTCTTCCCCTTCATGCTCATCCCCCGCAGCAACGCCGTGGCTGCTGCTGCCACGCAGCCGCTCTTCTACAGCAGCAGCCTGACGCTGCAGCGCAACCCAGTGCTGCAGACTTGCACGTGCTTGCGCATGCGCATGCGCAGCATGCGCCTGTTGCTGCTGTTGCTGTTGTTGCTGCTGCTGCTGCTGATGCTGCTGCTGCTGCTGGCGGATATCGTTCACTGCGGCGTCACCGCTCTCCCCTCCTCCTCCCTCGCGTGATATGGCGTGGGGTCGATCCCAGACATCCCCATAGGGTGCGTCTGCTGCTCCGTGTGCTGCTGCAGGGCCCGTGGGGCCCCCTTCTCCCCCCCTCGCTACCCTCTTGAGCGGGCGGTAGAAGGGGGCCTCCTCAGGGGCCTCCTCTAAACCCGCAAGAGCTGCGTAGCTAACATTTCTGGCTGCTCTCCTCACCGGGCCTGTCCTTCCCCCTGAACTCCCTTGTCTCACTACTGCTGCTGCTGCTGCTGCTGCTGCTCCTGCGCTCCTCAACGCCGCATGCAAGTCCTCCTCCTCCTCTGCCCGCTGCCCACTCACTGGCCGCCTGCCCGGTGCTCCTATGGGGGCCCCCACAGCAGTCGCGGCTCTGCTGGGTGCAGAGAGGAGGCTGCGGGTTCGAGGGACCCCCGCGGCTTCTTCTTGTGGCGATATACGCACAAAACTCGGGGGGAGTGGTGCAGGCGTCGGTCGTCGGCTGCCATGAAGGTCGCAGTCTCCTGCTCCCGCCGCTGCTGCTGCTGCTGCTGCTGCTGCTGCAGCTGCTGCTGCTGCGCCTCTTGAGATGTAGCTGCTGTCTTCTGCTCTCCCACGGCGGTCCCCTGCAGCACCCACCTCTGAGCCAGATCCACGACGAGAGTTGGCCGCCACAAGCCCCGCAATAGCCTCAGCAGGCCGCCTGCGGGGGGCCCCTGGGGGACCCCCCTGGGGTCCCCCTGGGGCCTCTGGCTGCGCGGTGTTGACGTCAAGGCTGCGGGAACCTCTGCCTGTGGCGGCGGCCCCCAAGCTGTGGCCTGAAGTACGCAGGAGGAAGCGGGAGATATCTCTGCTTGTTGGGTAGCGGCTACCTGGGCTGTTGAATAGCTCCCACGTCTCCGCCGCCTCCCCGTCGGGCCCTCCGGCTACACCCGCGGCCTCGGTCGCCCGCTGCTGCTGCTGTTGCTGCTGCTGTTGCTGCTGCGGCTGCTGCGGCTGCTGGCATCGCGCCGCCTGCAGATACACCACAGACAGCAACACCCCACATGCACCCTCCACCTCCTACCTTTGCAACAGACCCTGCACTGCCAATACGTCGACAAGGGTGGTGGTGGTCCTCCACCAAGCTACACAGCCACACGAAGCAGCTGCATGCACTATGCAGCAGCAGCAGCTGCTGCTGTATAGTGCAGCAGCACTATACAGCAGCAGCAGCTGCTGCTGCTACAGACAGCTGTGGGACTCGAACTGCCTGCACTGCAGCGAGGGAGGANCAGCAGCAGCAGCTGCTGCTGCTACAGACAGCTGTGGGACTCGAACTGCCTGCACTGCAGCGAGGGAGGAAACAGCCGGTGCAGGCTGGGCGGAGAGGAGGGGCTATCTATAGGGTTTAGGGTTTGGGGTTAGGGTTTAGGGTTTAGGGTTGATAGGTGGGGTGTATGTACTGACCTCTATCGGCGGTGCATTGCCTAGGGCGGGCCCAGCGAAGGAGAAGCCTTGGCGGCGCATTCTTTCTGCTTCTGTTTCTTCTTCCTCTACATACAGCTCCCTTGCCCTTTCTGCTGCTCGTACGGCTGCTCGAGCGACGTCAAGCTGCCAGTCTGGTGTACCTGCTGCTGCAGCTGATGGTCCTGGTGATGCAGCAGCAGCTGCTGCTGCTGTGGGTTGCGTCGATGTGAGGTGAGGCAAGAGGCCCCGGAAGAAGGGCAGCGCCTTCGCCAGCAGCTCCCGAGAGGGGGGCCCCTCTCCTCCCCCGCTGCACAGCAACGAGGCGAGATGATTGATACCTAGCACGCTTGCCCTGGGCCCCGTCTCTGTTCCTGCTGCTGGAGCAGCAGCGGTGGGGTTGAGTGGCTGCGGTGGTGCTGCTGCGTTCTGTAGAGGGCAGCAGAAAGAGTCGTTGGTGTCATCGTTGCTGCTGCTGATGGCCCCCAGCCGACCCTCAGCAGCCGTACTCGCTGCGGCTGCAGCACTGCAGCGCGAAGCAGTTGCTGTATAGGGGCTATCTAATAAGAGCAATCCCTCTCCTGACGTTTCCTCTGTCTCTCTGTTGCCTCCTCCTCTCCGTTCTGGCGGGGATGCATCTGTGGGGTGAGGCAGCAGCACTGGGGGCACGGCGGGAGACTCATACTGAGGCAGACAGAGGCGCCAGTCGCCTTGCGATAGAGCCTTGAGGTCGAGCTCAGGCTGTAGGTATCGTAGTAACAAAGGATGAGTTCGTCGGTGACAAGAAGAACCATCAAAGGGTATATAAATAACAACAAAAGGGGGAAACAGAGTCCACTCTTTACTATTCTCCTGTGTTCTATATTGCCATCGTTTCGCTGCAGCCTCAGCACTCATCTCCCCTCCTCCTCCTCCTCCTCCCCCTATAACACCAGCAGCAGCTGCCTTGGCGCCAGCTGCTGCTCTCAGCTGCCGCGGCGACGGCGGCACCAAGGCCCTCGGTATTGCCCATACAAGTCGAGGCACGATTGAGGGGGGACGACGCCGCACCCCGCTGTCCCTCATGATACCCCCATTGTCGTTATATAAGTCAAACGGCAATCGATATATACGCCGCCCAGCAACCAACGCAAACTCATTCGCAGCACCACCCGTACGCAGCACCATCACACGCATAGCGCGGACAACACAGTTCGGCCGGAGGCCCTCTACAGGGCCCCCGGATCCTCCGGTTCCTGCTGCTGCTGCTGCTGCTGCTGNCTGCTGCTGCTGCTGCTGCTGCTGTTGCTGCTGTTGCTGCTGCTGGGTTTGTGGGGTCTATGGTGCAGCTGGGCTGTCTATTTCGTCCTATAAGTACAGTGCGTACACCTGTTGCTTCATCTCTTTCTCTTGCCTCTGCAACCGCAGCCTTTGCGCGAGAGGCCTGCTCTAAGGAGAAGTAAACATCCTGTACTACAACATCAACAAAGTATGCGCGAGCTACAGCCTCAGTCTGTCCCTGATCAGAAGGAGAAGGAGAAGGAGGAGGAGGAGGACCTGCTGCTGTCAACCCCACAGATAAACATGCACCCGGATATATATCCCGCGACACGTCAGCCTCCAGCGGCAACAGACGCCACGCACACTCTGTGGGGCACGGGCACGGCGCCCGCGGCGGCACAAAGTCCTTCACCAGGCAAACAAAGTCCTGCTGAAATATCACAACAACAAACATAAAACAAAAAAAATAAATTAAAAAAAATATAACAAAACTCTATACAATACGAAATAATAATAATTTTATACAAATACAAATACTATAGAAATACAATACTAGCTAGTACAAATACAAACACACACACAATACAATACAAATACAGTACAACACAACAAACATAAACATTCAGTAGATATAAACACAACACGGTTGAGTGCGTGTTTCTCTGGGTTTACTGAAAATGATATATTATGTGTTTACGACAATAAAATTTGTTGTAAATATTTTTATTATTATTATAATATTTATTTTTATTTTATGGGGGCTTACAGTTGCGCTGACTTTGGCGTCACCAGGCACAAAGCACCGCGCCTTGAAGCTGTTGCTCGGCAGCAGCTGCACCACCTCGCAGTCCCTCCACAGCATCCGCCCGGCATCGCCAGTATCTGATCGGCCCCATCCCACCCACGTGGCCACTTGGATCGGGAGCCCTGCATGCACACAAACAAAACAAACACATGCATGCATGCATGCATGTATGCGCAGATACAAAGGCACAGGCAATACGTGTAACAACAGTACAGCACATGCATGCATGCATGTATGTATGTATGCATGCGGCAACAGTATGCGCATGCATGCATGCAGCTATATCCCATCGCATGCATCCACGCAGCATCTCTAAACCCTAAACCCTACAGTCATCCTGTATCCCGCTAAACCCATGTTTATACTTTAATATATATATATATATATATATATATATATATATATATATATATATATATATATATATATATATATATATAAAGTACAAAGTACACCTTAGTTGATATAATATATATCCCCCTAGACTTTCTGCGTTAAGGTTTCACTATCCTGTCGCCTCACCGACAAAAATTTTTTCCGGGAGTGCCTCGGTCTTTGGCCACATGCTGGGGGCAGTGGCGGCGCCGAATTCTTCGAGTCGAATATCGAGGGGTTCTTCATCTATATTTATTTCTTCTGTTTTATTTAAATCATCTTTATTATTATTATTACTTTCTTCTCTATTTATTTCTCCTCCTCTCGCTGCCTCCGACGGTATACGCAGCCACCTGTGCTGCAGCGCCCATCGTCGATCGATGGTTCCCCCAATAAACCTCGTAAAGTTTGCTTCAAATCCCAGACCCGGCTGACCCTGCTGCTGCTGCTGCTGCTGCAGCTGCCGCTGCAGCAGCAAAGCTCCACTCAATCCAGGGACGCTCCGAGCCTGCTCCCCTGCTACCTCAGCCGGAGGATCGCCTCGCATGCTGACGCATGCAGCAGCAGCAACAGCTGCTGCACCTGCAGAGGGGGGCTCCTCTTCCGCCTCCGCCCATTCATCTGCTGGGCACGGGCTGTAGCTGTTGATGCTACCTGCTGCAGCATGCGCGGGTGTAGCTGCTGCAGCACCACCACCCGCAACAGCAGCAGCAGCAGATCGTGCAGCAGCGCCACTGCGATCTAAGAGGAAGGCATGACGGACGGATCGGCGGCCTTTGGACGTCGCGACACTCTCGCGCTGCAACCTTCTTCTACGTATACTGGGATCTGCTGCTGCTGCTGCTGCTGCTGCCTGTGCTGCTGTTGTGGGTTGCTGCTGCAGTGCACCCGCTGTCTGGCGATCGTGCAGCTCCGCAAGAAAGAGGAGGCAACGCCAAGCCAGCAGCCGCCCCTGGGCAGAGAGGAGGCCCATGCGTACATCCCCCTGAAACAAACTAAAGAGAAACAAAGCAACACGGCCGAGCGTCATGGGGCCCCTGTGTGAGCTGATGGCGTCAGCACTAACGAAGGAACCGGCAGGCAGCAGCAGCTCGCCGTCCTCGGGGGCCCATGAATCTAAGTCTTCAGCAGGAGATATAAACAGAGAGGCAATATCAATGGGTGCGCCGCAATGCTTCTCCTTTGCATCGCGGGGCTCTCCTATACCCTGAGAAGAAGACGGAACACCAGCCCCTGCCCCCTCACCACTGGGCTGCCGCTTCAGTTCACCTGATGAGGATCGTGCTGCTGCTGCTCCCCCTGCAGCAGCAGCAGCAGCAGAAGAAGAAGCAGCAGCAGCAACTGCCGGAGCCTCATCTGTATGCTCTCTACTGTCCTCTGTGGCGGTCGACCCCGAGGTGACAGCACCTGAGACGCCTTCAGGGGCCACAGCGCCCGCATGCGCGGAGAGGGGGGGAGCAGATGAGGCACAAGATGATGGGGGATACACGTCTACCTGTGCTGCTGTTCCCTTCAGATCCTTCTGTGGACTACAGGAGGAATACTGCGCAGGAACACCACTGCTGCTGCTGCTGCTGCTGCTGCTGCTGCTGTTTTTGCAGTCCTCGGCTTTGCTGCCTCCGTGCTGCTGCTGCTGCTGCTGCTGCTGCTGCTGCTGGCAGGGTGGAGGGGGTGACCGTGGAAAGGGAGCGGAAGATACACCTGCAGAGGGGCAACTAATGATAGAGGAGGCCTCTTCGGCGTCGCCTGTCGCTATGGGCACTGAGGCGGGGCGGTGGGCATCGCGAGGCTGCACCGCCAGGGCCTCGGGCGGCCCTGAAGAAGATGCAAGGGAGGCCATCTTGGGGGAGCAACGGGGCCCGTAGGGTGCCGCCCCCGCCTCCTTGCCGTTGAAACAACTCTACTGATTGCTGGGCTCGTCTATGTTGAACTGTGTCGTGGTCTCGGTTATTTCAGGTTTCACTTGCTGCACGTAGTGCTCCTGTGATGAAAGAACAACGACGACGGTGCAGCCTCAGCCCTCGGACTCCTCTGCAGACAGTTGGAACCACTGGAGTCGGAAGAGAGTGGCCGAGGGTACCGGAGCAGCCCAGAGATGCAGCGGCAGTGTTTGGGTTGTGTTGAGCTGAGACAGGAGGAGAGCTGCTCTTTAAGCTGGTGCCAGCGGACAGCAGAATGTGAAAAGACAGAGAGATTCCAATGTAAATATGTTTAATGCAATTCAAAAGCAACGATATGAACATGCGCAACGTCCTTGCCCGCAGCAACTGCACGACGGCTGCACACGGAGGGCTGCTGCCTCTGTGGGCGGCCGTCGCGGTGAAGGGTATATGGTCGGCTTCGGCTTTCTTGAGGCATTCCACTGATGACAAGAAAAGAAGCAAAGGGAAAAACGACAGTCAAGAAGTCGGAGGGAAGCCAGAGGACGGTGGGGGTGGGGGGCGGGTGTATAGGGACCTTCGGGAGCCGCTGAGGCCTGAATTGAAAGCGAGGTGATCTGCCTTGGGCGGGCGTCTGTAAGAAGAAGGGGATTGGGAAGGCGGTGAATAGAATATCTGAAAAACATAGATCCCGCGAAGACAGCTCTCTTACCGTGCAGAACAACAGCGCCCCATTCAAGTGCCCTTGCCCTTACGGTCGGGCGTGGAGTGAACAGCGGACTCTGGTGTTAGGCGTATGAATCTTATGTATACCTATAGGGTGCACACTCTGCATCTGTGCTCTAAACGCGGTATACTCCCACAAATTTAATATAAATAATCAAATAATACTCTTTAAAACATATTCAAACACAATTAACTTAAAAAGGAAACCCAAGATTTATAAAGCTCCCTCGGACTCTGCCGTGAGTCAGTGTCTCAACCGCAGCATCAGTCTCACAGCCAGCCCCAACCTTGGGTGGCTGCCGAGCATTCTTGGTTTAGTTATCTTAATTTTCTATCGAAAGTAATACAATTTATCTTTATGAGGATTGTATTTGTTCTCTTTCAGCCGGCTAGGCCTCTGAAGGCTCCACCGTAGCTCCATTGCAGTCCCTGTGCACTACAACTTCCCCCCTACCCGGACTGAACCGGCGTCCCTATATTGTGTTAACCCCATATCTTTGTATCTTTATTATTCTTTTACACGTCTCTGTTATGCCGGTATTGGGTTGTTCCGCGGTCCTAGGGTAGTGGGGTTTCTAGAGTGCATAGTGCTGCTAGTGCGCTAATTTGAATATTCCTTTGTTTTTTTTCCTCATTCCAGCTCTATATATTCGTTTCTTTTTTTCCTTCTTCTTTTCTCTTCGTTCCTTTTTCTTCCTTTCCTCTTTTTGATCCGCCTGTTGTGTCTTGATTGTAATGGGCATGCGTTTCTATCTTCATGTGTATGAGCTACATCGTTGTGCAACCTGACACCGAGTGTAGGAGTAGTGCGCGTGCGAGTGCACGAGCACTTTCTCCCCGTCCTTTCGCGGAAACACTGCCGCCACGGCTGCATCTTCTCCCCCAATATCCTGCATGCCAGCTCCGCAGGGGTCCTATGGCTCGTCCCTACAATGGTGCCTTTTTTCTGGTGTCTCTGCACTCCAGTAGGTATCCCCCACCACTTAACATTCTCGACGGTTCTCCGCGTGTCGGGCTTAAGCTGTAGCTTTCTAGTTACATCTCACTAATGTTTGCTCCTATTCACTGTCGCAGTTGTTGTACCATCACTATGCATTGTCTCGCCTCGTCCAGTGCTCTCTCTCTCATCTGTTCTCCCTGAAACTTCCTTCAACGACTTGCCAGTGTTTCGCCATATCACAAATATTCTTTGGCCGCTGTTTGTCAGAGCTAGAAGAACGTTACCATACTCAATTAGCTTTCAATAACTGTAACACATCATCTGGTGGCATGGGTTCACACTGACCCAATTCTAAAGAAAAAGCTCAGCAACATACCGTACGGGGTTACCGATCCACTGAAACATCTGCTAAGCGGTATATCAGTTAGTCTTTCGATATACCACAGAATTTAGAAAACATTTCCTCTCTAATAACATCCTCTCCGTTCTCGAAGACTACACCAGGTGCCCGTGTGGTGACCCCAATACGCGACAGCCTTACCTACCAAGTATCAGCGGATCTCATGGCCCCATCCTTGATGGGGTATATCTGCTTTCTCGTGTTCTAGCTCCACTCGTTGCAGCCATGCTCCCATACTGTGCCCGTATTCGGGAACCAGCTTAACTTCATGTTTTCGGTTACAACATGCTGCCTGTGATTCAAGACACCATGCATAAGCTCTGATGCAGTGATCTAAGGTTGTAGGTTGCGCAGAGTAACTGTCTTAATGGAGAAGCTCTCACCCGAGACCTCGAGTGAGAGCTTCTCTCGATGGATAGAGTATGTGTCCCTTCATCGTCTGCGCGTAACTCACGATCCGTCTCGTGACCGAGTATCTTCTTCTCCTGTAGATCCTTCTCCTCATTCCCACGTAGGATATTCCCGTTGCGTAGCTGCATTCATGTGTCTGACGCTGGCAATGCAGATCTTGTAGTAAAACGAGTGAGTAGCGTTCGCAGTTACGGATCCAACGTGAGAGCAAGAAGTTTCAGGTTATAATTCCCCAGAAAAGCCACAAAATTTAGTGAACAACGGACTGTGCCGTTACTACGTGTGAGTCCTATATATACGTCATATGTTGCACACCTTGCAACTACTGTAACATGAGTTAGCGCAGAGTTAGCTCAGGAGCCTATCGACAGCTTTGGCATGCTGCGCGTAAG